TCTGTGCTTCTGACCTGCAGTCTGCTATAAAATATGTTGCCCTTTTCTTAACCAAAAAGCACAATGTCCTACTATTTTTGCCCTGAACAATTTGGTTTACTGTTTAAATTGTTTTTATGTCTATTTGTGTCTGCTTGTAGAGTTTTATTTCCTTATTTTTGTTCATTTTTATTATATGTCTTAGGTGATCATGTCTTCCATGTGGAAGAGTTAATAGAAAGAAAAGGAAAAAGGTCCATTTGATGTATAAAAGCTATGGCAAATCCAAAGAGGCCTTGGGAAATCTTGCAGCCTTTTGTGCCTTGATTCTTTTTAGAAATACTGATGTAAGTAGAAAGAAAAACAAAAAGTAAAAAGCAATAATCTAACAGTTTCTGAGGCTCTGCAGGAACCAAGGATAGTGTATTCAAAATGGTTCAGAAACTTAAATTTCATTTTCAACAAGGCAGAAGTTAAGTGTGATTTTCACTTTCCCCAGGGTAGACACAACAAAGTCAGGAGGTTCCTTTGCCCAGGTGCCTTCTGCTTATGCAGGGGGCAGCCGAAGGACTCAAGGGAGCCTCCTGCCAGCCTTTCCCCACAGATTGTGGCAGCAATCCCGGGAAGCTGGCAGAGAACACAACTTCCAAAACTGCATTTGTAAATGTCCTGCTCAATGTTTAGCCTTTTAGGCATGTAAAGATTGATATATCCTGACACTTCCAGATTTGCCACAGTACCTAATGTTCATACATATTTCTGTGCATATTCAGACTTTATATGTTTTAAGAGCTCAAGCAGACATTATTCAAACCTGTCCTATATGCTTTTAAGATTCTGATTCAAAATTCTTCACTTCCTTCTCCAGTCATCAGCAGAGTCCATCAATTTGTGGCCACCTCAGCTGGACACACACATTTCTGGGAAGAGTACCTCAACCTTGAGTTTTTTTGGTTTCCTTTTCCCGGAACATATTCTCTTTGATGACTGCATACGTTGGCATTCTTTTCTAGAAAACCACAATATTTAATTGCAGTTGATGAGTTTGATCACTAGCTGTCTCAATAAAATATGCAAATATAGAGCCATTTAAATGCAAAGTACCTTTAAACAAAAATGGTAAGATAAATGCAATCAAGTTACAATTACTTTTTTTTAAGAGGACACATTACACAAGTTCAGTAAATATGATTAGTTCTAAAATTGCCTGCACATAACTGAAAAGAAGAACAGAAAAAGGTACCGAGTACAGTCATGACATTAAAGAAGGGCTGAATTTCTAAGATCTTCAGCTACTGCATATATTACTCTTTGCACTGCCGCTTCTCTATCACGACTCAGTGTTCAGGTCAAACGTAATTATAACTTTCTTTTCAGAACAGGAGTTGATAGCTGAACATTTCTCATGAAATTATTCAAAGTTAAGAGTATAATTTTTTATTCATCTCCTACTTTCTATAAAGATGATAGAGTACAGTGGCTGAGATACTGATCTTCCCTGCTCATGCAAAAGACCGAGGGTCATAACTCATCTGAGGTGAAGCCCTCCGAATTAGGATGCTGTTGCCCTTATCTTCAGGCAGTGGAGATTAAGTCAATGCTTTCAAGGCATCCCCACAGAATATTTATAATTTTCACATTGTTTTATATTAGCTTTTTTGAGAGAAGTTGTATTTTCACGTGCCTCTTTTTCTGACGCACTTTATGATGCTAGAAACAACACATGAAACCTGCATGCTCCCTAATTTGGGGAAAGTGAAGTGAAGGTCCTTGTTCTGGCATGTTGTTACATACACAACAGATGGGTGTGAATTAGCCTTGGGGCAAACTCTAACCTCCTTTCTCAGGCAGAGCTCTTAGAACTCAATGGTAAAATTTTATATAGTTTAATCATATTATATATTACATTATTTTAACTGTGTTGAGGCAAGTGGGTTATGAGTAAAAGATTATCCATTCCACCTATCTGCATTCTCATTTATAGATGGTAACAGGTCAGGAGAAAAAGCTTTCTAAAAAATAAAAATGCTACAATCTTAGCTTAGAGACCAGGCATTTTACAGCAAAATATCTAATATACTCTCTGCTAGAAATATTCTATATTTCTGGGCAGCTTCTAGTACTTACCTTTAAATTTAAAAACAAATATAAACTTTTCAAATATCTTACCATACAACATTTCAATAACATAAAAAGATTTTATTTTTGAACTTCAGAAAGCCAAGCGGAATTCCTCCTGATTTCAATTAATAGCCATACAATATTTAGCCACGCATCTCTGCTACTCTCAGGTGCAATCACTGAGCAATTATTGGAGCTAGATCAGTTTCCACTTGATCCCTTCAAGAATAGCTTTGAGCTGGCACCACTTCTTTTTTTTGAGGTGCTTAATATTTTTAGAGGTCTCATTTAATGTCCAAGAAAGGCTTTAAAGTCCTTTCTGGTACCATAAGTATCAGAACAAAGCCGTGGTTCAGAGTAAAAGTTTTTATCTGTAGGTTTTGTCCTTTCTTGAATTCAGTAAAACTTCAGCACAGGTCTAAAACTTAAATGCTACCCTGAATAGCTAAGGAGATGAGCCCTAGTTTAGTTGAGGGCATTTGCATATGGTTAAATATTTAATTTTAAGCATGTGTTAGTCCTGTTGACCTCACTGAGACTGCTTGGGAGATGAAAATTAACTCCTGGGGGCGATGTGTGAGTGCATGAGTGTGCGAGGTTGTGTGTGTGCGTGTAAAATGTGGGCTCCACTGAAATAAATGGGATTTCTGTGGCTGACTTCAAAGGGTCCCAGTTTTACCCCAGGCATTCTGCTGCTCTGGAGAACTTAGTCTCCATCTTGGTGTTAGATAAGTTAATGATCCAAGTTTTCTAGCTGTTATTGTTTTCTCTTATACAAAACTTCATGCAAACTTAGGAACAAATTTACTTAATATAACTCCTTCATCATCCTTCCATCTCCAATCTCTGCCTGTTTCCTGAACTTTCCTTCTGACTGGAATGGATCAGTTTTGAGAGTCATGTAGCACTCTATCTCTGAGCAGAGATATTATTATTATGATGATCTATGGATCCATTAGAGCTTAGTGGAGAGGTTCTTACTTCAACCTTGCTTTCAAATTTGTCCTGTCACAAAATTGCTTTATTTATTTAGGTTTTAATGTAACTGCTAAAAAGCTGCTGTAAAATTTGTATTAAAAAAAAACCTCTCTTCAGGATGAGTTTCTTCTGTAGATCAATGAAAAGGGGATGCATTAAAAAGATGTATATATGTATATGTATCTTGAGAATTCCTGTGCCATGAAACTCTGAGTATTTTATTCCTTCTGGGACAGTTTTCTGATTTTTTTGCTATTTTCCTTACACTCTTGTCCTAAGAGCATATCTGTCAAGGCACTGTATCTTTTCCATTTGTGTCTTGGCACCTTTACCTCTTGTTATTCATGACAACATTTTCAAACTCCCACAGTATTTTTGCAGAACAACACATGAACTTTTCATTGACTGAAGGTCAAATCTCACTTGGAGAACAGATGGAGTGTCGAAGAACGAACCTTTGCCACCCACTAAGCATTAGCACCTGCTTATTTGTTACATGTGCCCACTGCAGCTTAGAGGCTACTAAAGTTTTCACCCAAGTGATTTAGAACTTGTCACTGGACTTAGTACAAGTGCCTTGTAAAAATGGGTAATTGTTTTTACTTTTTTACTCAGGCTGTATATTCTTTGGGCTTGGAAGGTTTGTGCTTAAGGGCTAACACAGAAGGACGATGACTTTGTTGAGATGCTGCAGGAACAAAGTAATAATAATAATAAAAAAAAAGAGCAAGAAGGAACAGTCAATAAATGCAAATATGAATCTTTCAATAACACTGAGGGTTTTAGGATTTCAGTTAATTTCATACAACTGAGTGTCTAGTTCTCATGTGAGCTCAGTTGCACATGGCTTAAGTCTTCTTTGGGGACTCCAGAGAAGATGGAATGGGAGGAATTATTTGTCTCTACCAGGTGGAGGAAAAAGTATTGCACCCTCATGATCAGTGCTGAAACTAAGTGAGTCTTTCTGATCCATTCATACTTTGTTCTTCTGCTTGTGGTCAGATATACATCATCAAGTCTTTATGCAGGAGCTCTCCAAAAGCTGCTAGCTTAGAAGTGGCATGAGCCCAAATCAGGAGTTACACCAGTGTTTTGTAAGAGTAGCCCCTGGATTTGAGTACTTATCTTTAGAGTAGCTGCCAAATATATTTCAATGAGAAAATTAGACAGTCTCTAATTAAACTGTTCTGGATCAGGAAACAGGAAAATGGTATTATGTAGCATGAGAACAAGATGTGAATGTGCTTGTGTCTATGTAGCAGCTGAAACTTAGCAGAATTTGTAATACATTTATCCCTGTTGTATTTAACATCAGAATCTCCCCTGCCTTTCACAGATGAATAGCACCTAAGATATGTCCACAGCCACGATTCAATACTGTTGAATTTAACTGCATGAATGATACCATTAAACCTAGTTATTTAAAGTATGTGTGCTTTTTTTAAAATATAGTTTAGGGACCTGATTGAAAATCTATTGAAATGCATGGTCCTCAACTTTCTTGAGTTTTCCTCATGTCCTCAAGGATAAAATCCAAGTAATAGTAATTAGGAGACATATTATGGTGTAGACACTATTTCTAAATACTACATAATGAAGTTGTAACAGACAACAATGGAAAGCAAGGTGTTTATGCATTTTTTTTTCTGCCTGCTGTTTTTTTCTCCAGTCTTCTGAGTATCTCTGACAAAATCCACAAGAATTCAAAAATCAGAAAAGAACGTGCCTGTTAAGCAAAACTCTTCTTTATTCCCCATGGTATCCTAAGTGATTTTTAAAAGGTGGTTCAGATCATGTAAAGCTGGCTAGATCAGATTTTAATGAGATATTACTTCAGGTTATGTGAGACTATGAATTTCTAAGCATTTAACCAGCCATCCTTTCTGGTTTTCTGCAGGTTGAGGAACAGCAACTATAAAAACATGCATCGAAGGCACACAACCCTTCGGGAGAAGGGCCGGAGGCAGGCCATCCGTGGCCCAGCCTATATGTTCAATGAGAAAGGCACCAGCCTGACTGCAGAAGAGGAACGCTTTCTGGATTCCGCAGAATATGGCAACATTCCTGTTGTGCGAAAAATGCTGGAGGAATCCAAAACATTGAACTTCAACTGTGTTGATTACATGGGACAAAATGCCCTACAGTTGGCAGTGGGGAACGAGCATTTGGAAGTGACGGAACTCCTCCTTAAAAAGGAGAATCTAGCTCGGGTTGGGGATGCACTTTTGTTAGCCATCAGTAAAGGATACGTGCGCATTGTGGAAGCGATATTGAACCACCCAGCCTTTGCACAAGGACAGCGTCTCACACTTAGTCCCCTTGAGCAGGAACTGAGAGATGATGATTTTTACGCCTATGATGAAGATGGAACTCGGTTCTCCCATGACATTACCCCTATCATACTTGCTGCCCATTGCCAAGAGTATGAAATCGTCCACATCTTACTTTTAAAAGGCGCACGGATTGAAAGGCCACATGACTATTTTTGCAAGTGCAATGAATGTATTGAGAAACAGAGGAAAGATTCCTTTAGTCACTCTCGATCAAGAATGAACGCCTATAAAGGATTAGCCAGTGCTGCTTATTTGTCTCTGTCCAGTGAAGATCCTGTCCTTACTGCTTTAGAGCTAAGCAATGAATTGGCCAGACTAGCCAACATTGAAACTGAATTTAAGGTAATTCACCACTGTGTCTTTTTCCTGGGGCTGAATGTGTTCAGGGTTCTCTATATTCTACGTGTGTAACCAAGTCTTTGCTCATGGTTTTGAGGGAGGGAGGAAATGGGAGCTACAGAACCAACCTTAGGAATTCAAAGCAAGAAATCAGATTCCAATATAGCCAGGTGAGGGGAGGCTTTGATCTATATTTTGACCTTGTGAAGGCTTTTATTGTAAGTGAAAAGGTATGCTTGGGAATAAATTACTCCCACTGCAATCTTTGATGAGGAGGAGGGCAAAACAAAGATGATTTTCCCTTTTCTCTAACTGATATTTTGTAGGAGTTTAACAAATATTGTTTCCTTCTGTGAGGCATTGAAAAGCAAACACAGTCATTGTGATTTTTAACATTTTAAAAAGGGATATATCAGATTTTCCTCATCTTTATCCTCCATTTCATATGTAAAAGAGAGATTTATAGTTATGTATATGCTACCAGAGAAATGTCATGCTATTCCCCAAATCCACAGCCATTTAGAGCAACTGGTGAGAAGCAAAGCAAGGTATTAACAAAGCTGCATGTTAAAGCCTTTGGTTTTTCTGGCTTACATTTTTGCAATAGCCTGTTTCAAATCTTACTGCTTCTGCTGCAAACGTCTATATGCATTATGACATAAAATGTGTCAGCCCTTTGGAGAAAGGAGCATAAAAAGTCTAAGAAATGTTCCAGGCAAAATTCATCACTTAGCATTTCAAACGTTAGTTGTACATAGATCCAGATCACTGTACCTTCTTCAGTTAATAAATATTTGAGACTGAGTATTCCATGTTATAACAGAGCCATCCGATCTTGGAATTTTTACATTACACACTGTGATTGCTTAGAATGTATAT